TCACACTTAGATGGTTTAAATGTCAAAATCTGAATACAAAATAAAAGTATAATGAAAGGTTTAATCTTTCCCTGTGTGTGGGAAACTGAACACGGCACACATTGGACAGGACAAATATCAAAATAAAATAAGAAGTAATACACACAAACGCCCTGAGACTCCAAAACCCCACAAAGGAGGGGTGGTGGGGGTGGTTTTCCGGTCTTTGGCAGGGGTCTCAAACTCCAGTCCTCGAGGGCCTGTGTCCTGAAACTTTTGTGTCCCTTCTGCAACACACCTGAATAACATTAAAGACTCTCTAGAACCTGACTACATGCTGAGATGGAATAGGCTTCCATGATCCATCATAGCAGATGGTTCGCAATAACTGGAATGAGGACAGACCCAGAGTCTAGATGCTGGTGGTGCTGGACACAAAGATGGAGGCTCGGACGACGCTCCGAATGACAAAGGTGAAGCGGAGACTGGGAGGAAGCGTGCTGCATAAATGAGTTTGAAAGGAAGACTGAAAGACGAGAACAGATATTTAAAGCACACAGAACAGAATCTGACTGGCTTGCAGAAGGTGAGCAAGAAAATTGGATGGATGACAGAATTAAATCTGAAAACATGGAAAAGTAGAAGTGATGTAAAGAATAGACTTGTGTAATAAGCATGAAGACTTAAAGAAACCCAGTCACCTCCTTTCCAAGCTCTTTAGTCTACCATGAACTGGATGACTGAGAACTTAGACATAAAGAACAGACGAGCAGCCCGAACACCAGGAAAGCTGACAGATGAGTGATTACAGAGTTTGATTGAATCTTTATCGAACTCCAGAGTGATTGCTGACACACCCATGTTACTCAATCAACAACTTCTCTGGCAGACAGGTACAGATATTACTGCGATGGTTTGATTATTCACCTTGCTGGATTGAAATTTCCCCAGAGACACATCTAACCACACTCAGTCACACTTTGCAATAATAATGTTTTTGATCTGAATGAATAAAATCTGAACCATGTGACCAGAGATGGCAGAGGGAAGCAAACTTTCAGGATGGTGTAAAATTATTTCCCCAAAGGATGAGAGGATTTAGAATATTTACTGAAACTACTGAAACATTCAAGATTTACTAGGAAGCATTAAATGCACCGAAAACTTGTGAACTACGATCAAACCAGCACTGAAACCTTAAAAGTGAACAACAGCCTGAAATGTACTCTCTGCCCAACATGTTCTCACTCCCAAAGCATAACATACTCCTCTATGTGACAAGTCGTCTGTATGTTATGCTTTCGGCCACCCAACACTTTCCTATGTTACGCGTTCAGAAACAGGAGGAAACATGAGAACAGTTTGTACTGAATCTACACATGTACATTTATTTTACTTTCTCATCATGAATCACTTTGGAAAACACTATCTAAACACAGTTGTGGTTATGGTTATAATTAGGGTTAAGGCTGGAATACACATGTCACCACCGGGAGCATCAACCTATTGGATTCCATCCACACGTATCATAGGGACACAGAAGGTAACATTTTGCGTTCTCATGGGACACCTCGGGACGTGTTCTCATTCCCAATGTGTATGTTATACATCGGGAATGAGCATGCTCTGTTCTGCAACATTTTAAATGCAGTCACGCTTCCGAAGACAGAAGATTTTGTTCACTTTGTTGTGAATATTTAGAACATTGTTCTTTTTTTCTTTTCAACTCCACAGTGAGTTCTGCAGCTGAATGACAGCATGGCAGCAGCATTTGGTGAGTCTTACTTTGTCACACTTACATGCAGGACCTGTGAGTTACCTCCCTCTACAAGCACTTTCTGACAGTAATTTGTTTCTTGGTTTCTCCTTGTTGCTGAAATCTGAAATTTGTCTGATTGGAGGATAAACGATGTGACTACAGGTGAATATTTTACAGCAGGTCTCATCTGAGTGTCTTTGCTGAACCAGGCTGCTGTGTTGCATGTAGCATACTTTAACAATGTGTTTAACCAATAACATTTGTCAGAATGTGTTTTCTGAAAATTAAAAGTCACATTTAATAATCTTTCAAAGTAAACTTTGTTTCCTCTGCTATATACAGTTCAGTACATACAGAGACGAGACGACAGTTTCCCAGAACTAATGTGATCTGTTCATGCAGCTGTTGACATTAAAAGTGCTTTGTTCCATCTGATGTAGTCATTGCAGGATAACACGTCTCAGTGCATAAACTACTACAAATAATAATAATAAAAGAAGAGTTATTTCTTTATCTTTGCAGGACCACAAGACACTTTTCCCAGACGTCGCAGGAAGAGCTTCGATTTTGTGCCACCCCACAGTGAGTTTTTAAAGAAAAGATTATGTTTAATGCAAACTTTAACTGGGCAATTTAAGGTGGAAGACATTAGACAGGAGCAGGTGAAGACAAAATATAGCAGGAAGTGTGAAGCCTGTTTGGAATAATGAAAACCTCTTAGTGCACGGATCCTGCTTTCTCTCTTTACATTTAAAGCTCATATAATGTATAGAAAAGTGAAGAAAACTATTTTATGTAAACTTTTGGGGGTCATATCTGGGAGAGGTTACAACATATCAAATGTCTCCTTAACTTCATGTTAACAGATCAAACATTCAGGATGCCAGTGCTTGTTTATGTAGCTCTATGCCACAGACATGAAGTTGGTGCAATTTTCAAAAGAGACTGTAGGAAAGAAAACTGTGCTGAACAAGGAGAAAAAAAATAGGTCTTCAGATTATGACACTGTGGATTTAAAACTGAGCTTTTAACAGAGGTTACATTTATTTATTGTCACAGCGGTGGATCGGACAGATTGAGAACACGGTGGGGGGGGGCACCAGGGTTCCGGGGGTCAACAGGTTGGGGAAAGCACACGCCTTCGTACTGGCTCTGCTCCTCGTCCACACAATCAGCTCCACTCTCACTCACGGGGTCCAGGGGTCACAATGCGGGCAGGTCCAGAGAAACCTATTTACAGAGACGAGGATTAATCACCAGCTAGCCATGCACGAGCCACGGGGGCGGCGGGGGCCTGGAAGGAGGGCATAATGGGCTGGAGAGCACTGGCTTGACCTGAGAGACATGGAATACATCATGAATATATTGCGTGGCAGTTTCAGTCGGACAGATGCAGGGTTGATTATAGCACTGATTTCAAACGGGCCAATGAAGTTGGGGGAGAGTTTCTTAGATTCGGCATGTATCGAGTGGAGACCCATACCTTCTGCCCCACCACATACTCAGGGGCGACTGTCTGGTGGCGATCCGCAAGTGCTTTATTACATTCCTTGGTAACGCCGCCCGAGTGGCCCGCCAGGCCCTGCGACACCTGCGAAGATGATGTTGGACAGAAGGAACAGTATGCTCACCTTCAACCTTGGGAAACAGAGGTGGTTGGTATCCTAAAGACGCTTCGAAGGGTGACACACCAGTTGCAGAGGACGTGTGACTGTTGTGAGCATGCTCTATCCATGGCAGGTGTTCGCTCCAGATGGCCTGATTATGAGAGGTGACACAGCAGAGGGCGGCTTCTAACTCTTCGTTGATGCGCTCCGTTTGGCCACCAGAACAAAGAGTCGATCGGGGGGGCCTGCTCCGGGATCAGGATCGGTCTCTTGTGCCTCCCGGATGAGCTCTTCAATCTCCCACATAAAGGCTCCGATAATACAGGAAGCCGGCAGAACAGGTCCAGGGTCGGATTCCTATCCGACTAAGGCAAATTGCCGGGACACAGCGTCTGGTTTAACGTTTTGGGAGCCTGGCCTGTAAGTGAGAGTGAAATTAAACCGGGTGAAAAACAAAGCCCACCTGGCCTGCTGTGAGTTGAGTTGCTTCGGCGAGCGGATGTACTCTAGGTTTTTATGATCAGTCCATATGATAAACTGCTGTGCGGCCCCTCCAACCAGTCTCTTCACTCCTCCAGAGCAAGTTTTATAGCCAGCAGTTTGCGATCTCCAATGTCATAATTCTTCTCAGCTGGGGAGAGACGACAAGAGAAAAAGGTACAGGGGTGGAGCTTACCCTCAAACCATTGAGAAAGCACGGCCCCGACTCTGATGCATCCACCACGAACTGCTGGGTGAGGTCCAGCTGGCAGAGACGTTAGCTCTTTATACAGTAAAGTTACTGTGGGATACAAATAACATCAGGCTGATCCTGCCACTAATTGTTCCCCCTGTCCAAACCACAGACAAACAGTATCCCACAGTTGTTTATGAACCCATTTTGCACAGAGGAAGTTTTTGAAAAAAAAAATCTTGTTAGCAATGTTGAATATTATTGCACAGGAAAAAAAAAACTACATGTAAAATAATCACACCGTGATGCCTCTGCCTTTCTAAATGGAGGGACAGTAACTGCGTGTGTGTATGTAAGCGTGTAAAACCTGCAGATAGTCAAAAACGCTGTTCACGTGTGGGCGAGAGGTCCAAACGCATAGAAAAAGCTGCGTTTTCAAAAATACCCATGTAGGTGTTGGCGATGCGTAAA